CATTCACTCTCAGCCCAACTCACTTCACACGGTTGTTGTGGGGGAAATAAAAGGAGGAAGAAGAATTAGATAAATTTGCCCCTTTGAATTATTTGCAAAAAATTTTTTTTAAAAAATAAATTTATTAAATTAATAAATAAAATCATTTACATGCAAATTACAAGTTCTATCCTATCTAACCACCCCACCCAACCGCCATTACAATTAGTGATGGAGGATTGAAAAAGAAACAGCGATTGGATTCACTCTCAGGGGTGATAAATCAATAGCCAAAAGCTTTGGGACAAAGGTGTCAAACTCGATTTCATTGAGGGACACATCAGGGTTGTGTTTGACCTCGGAGGGCCAGGGTTGGCGTGGCTAGCATGACATCACTTGCGTTGGGAGTGCCTGTGGGGGACCAAGTGCTCTCCCAGCGAAAATGGGCTCCCAAGCTCTGTTTTCGGCTGCAATGGCCTCCTGCAACACTCTGCCAATGAAAATGGAGCTCAGGGGGCCCATACGTGACCCTTGAGAGCTCTGTTTTTGGCTGGGACAGCATTCTGCAACCCTCTGCCAGCGAAAATGGTGCTCACAAGGGCCTCACACAGCCTCCTGAGTTCTGTTTTTGCTGGCCGAGGCACCCCATGGGCCAGTCCTTCCCTGTTTCCAGGATAGCTCTGCAAGGCAGATCTAAGCACCCCATGGCCTGGATCCTTCCCCGGGGCCTTGAGTTTGACACCCTTGCTTTAGAAGATCAGGTTGCAAACAATGCTCTGTGCAATCCTGAAAATGCCATTTTCTATTATATTTTTTCCTCCAAGTAACTTTTAGAAACCTGCTTTTTAAACTTAGTCATCCTTTGGTTCAACATATCTTTATTCTATTTTTTTAAACTCTGTGATTATTTTAATTATAATCCTCTTTTGATCTATCTATTTTTTTGTATTATTTTTAGCTATTTTAAACACCAATTTTGGCATCAAGGGGAGCAGAATTTCCACAAACTTTAATAGTACGGTGTTCCCATTTTTATTTTTAGCAAATAGGCATGCATAAAATTTGCATGGAAGTATACAAGGGAAGAATAAATCCTGCTGAAATACAATTTCTAAATTACAATGCCAATTTTTATTTCTAATAAACAACCAGAAATACCAGAATAGTAGACAGCAGGGATGTTCAAAAGAGCACACCCTCTTCCTAAAATATTCCAAAGATATTTTCCCATCCAAAATAGGCCAGTCTAAATATTCCATGGTCCTTCAACCAATTTGAAGCCATGTAGACAGAGGATAGTTAACAGATTCCTGTATACACAACGACTGTGGTTACCCAACACACTAAACTGTAAATTTGGATTCACAAGCCCCAAACGCTGAATTTTAGGGAATAAGCTGTACCCAAACAATGACGCCCTATTAGAGTGGTGCAGTGTCCTAGAGGTGGAGCTCTCGCCTCACAATCAGGAGGCTGTGAGTTTGATCCTAGGTAGAGGCAGATATTTCTCTCTCTGGGCACAATGAGAATATATCTGCTAAACAAAACTCCACATTGGCAACAGGGAAGGGCATCCGGCCAGTAATCGCTCAGTTCTATTCAGTTGCCCAGACTCCTCTCTCATTAAAAGAAAGAAGATGAAACAGTGAAACTCTATTATGGCTTAATTTGGTGACTAAGTCACTCTGAACTTTAAGGGGAGGTTAGATATCCACAATGTGACAAAACACGAACCACCCAGTCTCATTTTAAATAATAATAATAATAATAACAACAATAAACTAGGGGTGACATGATAGCAGTATTCCAGTTTTTGAGGGGTACCACAAAGAAGAGTGGATCAACTTATTTTCCAAAGCACTTGAAGACAAGACAAGAAACAAGGGATGGAAACTAATCATGGAGAGAAGCAACCTGAAATGAAGGAGAAACTTTGTAACAGCGAGGACAATTAATCAGTGGAATGGCTTGGCTCCAGAAGTGGTAGGTGCTTCATCACTGGAGGTTTTTAAACAGAGACTGGACAACTACTTGTCTCAAATTGTATAGGGTCTTATAGGGCCTCTTGCTTGAGCAGGGAGTTGGACCAAAAGATCTCCAAGGTCCCTTCCAGCTCTATTCTGATTAAAAAACAACAACTGGATCACTTCTTGAACACCATCGGCATTGATAAATTCATCGTTAGTCAATTGCAAAAGGCAGCTTTACTCAGAACAGCTTACATCCTGTGACGATATCTATAATACCATCGAACATCCACATTTGCCTAGCCCAGGTCTTTGGAAAGGATTCGATAGGTGGACAAAAATGCCAAATCCAGTCTAAACACGTGGCTGACTGTATGGCTAACCATATAATAACTTCAGTGTATATGTCTGCTCAATTTTAGGAGATGACCAGGCTGAGCCGGAGGGAGGGGATCAAATGCATCATAAGTCACGAGTCCCTGTGTGCCCACAAGAGAGCTAAGTCCAGGCCTCCCTTATCTCCCACTCATTTCCCTTAACCATTAGTCGTTCAGATTCTTGTAGGGAGCTTAAGCTTCCAGTAAATCTTTATATTCATTTGAACTGCTCGAATCTCCTGATTTACTCGGCATTTGAGATCACTTCCCCCAAATGATTCTGGTCGCCCATGGAGATAGTAATATCAGTATTACTATAAGTATGCAACAAAAATAAACAACGGCACGACAAAAATAAAAAAAAAAAAGAATAGTAGCTGAGAACAACCATTGAAAATAAATATATAATTGTATTATAATGAATTGATTATAATTATGTTACCATTAATTAAATATAATTATATCATGTATAATAATAACTATAACTCACAGAGTCAGCTAACCTCCCGACCTCTGTGCCTGGGAGAAGAGCAAGTCTTAAGGACTTCTGAATGACCGCCAAGATTGGGGTCAACCTAATCCTAAGGACCGTGGGGTAACAGACAAGCCATCTCTAACATATTGCACAAACCCAGCCAGCATTTTATTCCCTGTTGAATCACAGTTTAGTTCCTAACATAAATCAGATGAAGCAATCCATTGCGTCATGACCGGACAAAATCAAAGGGTTCATAAGCGATTGAAAAGAAACGAACTTCTCTCTTTCGCAGAAGTAACGAGTAAATAAATCCCCGTATGAGGCGGGGAAAATGGAACCTAATTTTTATCTCACTGTAATCATTTTCTGAATGTAAAGAGACCAAGAGCATGTCAATAACTCTTTGTTTCTTCTTGCACAGAGGTGGCCCTTTTTAGAAATCTGGATGGACCTCCGGAAAAGGTGAAAATCAGCTTGATGTGAGGGCCAGGAAACCCAGGATAAACTGGCATTTATTTTTATATTTAATGAGGGGTGGGGGATTGGCTTGTTTTTTTTTCCTCTCCTGTTCTACATACTGTTAACAGAATTTGTCTTCATTACTAGAAATGGTTGAGAATCTTGATTCACTGCAATGGGTAGTAATGTGATGAGAAAAAAATGGGACGACCAATGTGCCAAACTGTTTTGCTGCAGCTGCCTCCCCTGACTACTTACTTGCATGTTGACATTGCAATGCAGGTAGGAAAGGGACGGAGTTTGCAAGGCAATAATGTGATGCTCATTTTGTCAATTGTCTCTCCCCAGTCCCATGAGGGTCTTCATGCTACTGCATTGCAGGGAAGCATTCAGTTTCCCATCTGCTATCTGAAGAGCCTTCAGAGGGGGAAGATTATGGCTGGCTTTAGGACATTTATGTAGTAGTAATAGTTAGGAGTTTAAATTGGTATCTACCTCTCTTTCCATCTATCCAGCTATCCAACATCTATCTTCCTAACTGTCTTTCACCATCCATCCATCCATCCGGATCCATCCATATCTGCCTGCCTGTTTGCCTATCTGTCTCTTTTATCCACCCATCCATCTCTCTATCCATTTATCTATCATCTATCTACCTAAACTTCTTTTGTCATCCATCCATCTACCAATCCATCCATCTGTCATGTTCTATATATATATATATCTCTCTATCAATTCATCTATCATCCTTCTATCTTTCACCATCCATCCATCCATCCATCCTTCATTTATCTACCTAACCATTTCTCACCATCCATCCATCCACCCGTCCACCCATCCATCATCTTTCTTTTTCCTTCCTTCCTTCCTTCCTTCCTTCCTTCCTTCCTTCCTTCCTTCCTTCCTTCCTTCCTTCCTTCCTTCCTTCCTTCC